CTCTATTGTTTCATATTCATTGCCACCCAAGTTGCCTTCCACCTTCACATTCTTCACCAATTCCTTTTGGTTTATGAGCAGAACAATGAAAAGTGTTTTTCCACCTTGTGTACCAAAGAAGTTATCCATAAGATGCTCCAAAATGTTGATGGACTGCCTGTGAATTTCTGTGCAACTCTCCCAGTATATGTCACAGTAATTAAAGTCTCCTATCAGCACCAGGTTCTGTGATTTGGATGTTTGAAAAAAAGTCTCCTCTACCTTCTCCTTGTTCACTGGTCTATAACAGATGCCCACTGTAATGTCACCCTTGCTGTTTTCTTTTTTACTTTGATCCAGAAATATTTGATAGGCCTATATTAGGGCTGGGCTATTATTTTGGGTGGAGGGCTGCTTAATGAGTTTTGGTGAGCTTTTGAGACCTGCATGGGTAGTTCCACCCCTTGACAGTTGCCCTGTCCCCTTGTTGTCATTTTGGGACTGGAAGTCCCACCCCTAACCCCTGACCTTTGCCACCAGAAGTCCCTCCCGTTTCCCCCTGGAAATGCTCCTTTTAGGAGGAGGGTTTGCCATATTAGAACCAGGGGGAAAAATCACACACTAAAAGTCAAACACCTACTGTAATATATTTTAATTTTATTACCAAAAATATTTCTGTCATGATTTGTGTTTGTATAGTGTAATGTATATAGAGCTGATTGCATAATAACTCAAAAAATACATTCTTAGTTGTTTATGGTGGGGTGGGTGTGTGTGTGTGTATGGTGGGGGGGTGTGTGTGTGTGTGGAGGGTGGGTGTGGGTGTGGAGGGGGTGTGTGTGTGTGTATGGTGGGGTGTGGAGGTGTGAATGACAAAGCCGCACCAGTGCAAAGAGTGCCAGTGATACAAACGGCCCAATGAGGGCTGCGTTCCTCACCATGATGTGCAGTGCTGGCTGAAGCCAAGCATCAGCTCTGAGCATGAGCGCCCTCTTGCTGCTGCCAGTGGAGGCTGCCCTCCTCGCTGTGAGGTGCGGTGCTGGCCAGAGATGCACTCTGCTGGGCACTTGTACCCTGAGTGCCCCGCCTTCTGCTGCTTCCACCACCTGCCGGGGATGCATGCCACGGGGCAGTGTGGGGCGTCTCCACACCCCCACCCTCCCTCATCCACATGCAGCCCACCCGAGCTTTGCACTGCCGCTAGCCCCAGCCCAACGCTCCACCTTCCCACCCAGCTGCAGCCCCACACCTGCTGCTTCCTTACCTGTTCCCAGAGCCAGCAGGAGACTGGGGAGGCAGTAGGTCCCTGGGGGCTGCAGCAGTGGCAGCAGCAGCCCTTCATGGAAGCTACATGCTGGCTGCAAGGGTGGGAGCGAGGCAAAATAGGGTATGTTTGGGGCTGTGTGTACACGTGGGCACCTTGCTCCCACCCTTGTGGGTGGAAGGGCTGGGTGGGGTACAATTTGTTGGTGGGCGCCATGGGCCAGATGAAAGTACTTGGTGGGCTGAATCCAGCCTGCGGGCCATATTTGGCCTGCCCCTGGCCTATATCCTGGTCTGTACCACACTTCAGGACAAATGTATGTTGCTTTTATATAGAGAACACCACCACCTTTTCCCCCTCTACCTGTCCTTTCCGTGCAAGGGTTGGTGAAGTATTGTAGTCACAATGTATCAGAAAATACATGAGAAAAAGGATTTCTGGAAATATGTTTTATTGGATCAACTGTGTAGATAGGAAAGACATTAGACAAATTTTTGGTCATGAAATACTCTTCTTCAAGTGCCTAGACTTGAAGGAGTGTCCAGATCTAAAGAAGCATGTCTTGGAAGTTTGTCTAATATCTCTCCCAAATATAGCTGTTTCAATAAAAGATATTGCCACAAAAAAATCTTGCTTTTTGAACAAGCTAAACCCATCCATGACAGTATTCCAGCCATGTGAACTTGAACTATCACACCAAATCTGTTACCCCATACTTATGTGGCTTGCAGTTTTTTCTCCTTATTCACCTTGCTTCTCAAATTAGTATACCAACATTTTAGAAGACTAGCTGTTGATTGTCTGAGTGCCTTGCTAATTTCCCCCTGAGAACACTGTTAAACCCCTCCATATTGCCTCCTCTTGGTTTTGATCCACGTAACTTTTCTCTTTACTTGCCTGAGATTTTGTCTTCATTTCCTTCCTGATGCAAGTCCAGCTGTATATTGGATGTCTCCGTACCCTTCAGAAGGGAGTCACCAACCATTACCACTCTTTGCTGCTTCTTGGTGGCACTGGCCTTGATCCTCCCAGACTTTGGGGTTCATAGCTCAGCCTGTTCCCCCAATAGGATAGTCTCCTTTTCTGATGCCAGAGGTTTCATACCTGTCCTTCACCTGGATGGCTGGGGTTCAGAGATGGAGTACAGTCTGTTACCAGAGGTGACAGGACTTTGAAGTATCCAGGACTTTGTTGCCCCCCAGTGTCTTCTCAGGGTAGCCCTCTTCTACACTTTTGGAAGTCTCTTTGTGTACCGTGTTAAATGAAGTCCTCATATTCGTGAATGCTTTGCAGCCACCTTCTACCTAATTTGCAAGGGAATCCACTATGAGGCACCTCATACACACAAAACATTCCCCACCTGGATGTCTTTGGCAAGGTTGTACAAGCTGCACTCTCCATAAAGCCAAGCCCAGAACTTGGGTAGAAGCTTCAGAGTTTAGCGGCTCTCCCTGGACAGAACCTGTATAGGCTAGGAAAAACTGGCAGTTACTTTGGTGTTACAGTGTCTTCTGGCTGTCTTACTAATTTTCCAGGAAGCCTCCTAGAAATTATCCTACTGTGGTCATCAGCTTTACAGTTACTATATGCCCAGGTTTTCCCAGATATGTCCTCTTTTTGAGCCCTCTGATCTCTGTCTGGATGGGTTCTTTAAATCTGATTTTGCTTTGCTCTGCTGGTGGGAGCAGGGGGAGGGTGATCAGAGACAGCAGGGAGCACAGATGTACCTGCCTGCAGCTGCGGAGGCATGCACAAACCCATGTGGAGCTCCTTGTTGCCTCCGATCATCCTCACCTTGCTCCCCCCCCTGGAGCAAAGCAAAATCCCATACATTTGGTCAGGGTAGTGGGGCTGGGGCTGTGACAGGGCAGGGGGAGCTGCCTGCCCTTCCAGTGGGGGAAAGGGGCAGTGGGCTCTCTGAGGGCAGGGGGGAACTCTGTGCCTTGGCTGGTAGCACAGGGGCTGCTGTCTGTGTTCACAGGGGCTGAGCGGCCAGGAGACGCTGCCCGGGGGAGAGGGGGAAGGAGTGGGGAGGGGGACTGTGGCACGGGCAGCCCCATCCCAGGGCGGGGTGGGCATGCTACAAGCCTCCCCTCCTCAACACATGCTGGGGCTGGACACGCTCCGCTGCTGCTTGCATGAATCAGAGCCACCGTGCTCTGGCCTGGTCAAGGCAGAGACAGCTAGGGCCTGTCCAGCAGAGCTGGTGGGGGCAGGGGGCTGTGGGTTGGGAGTGAGGAGCACCAGTAGGGCTGAGGGGGGAGGGGCATGCAGGTTGGGACTGAGGGGCACCAGCAGGGCTTGTGGGGGCAGGAGGCTGCGGGTTGGGAGTGAGGGGCATGGGCAGGGGCTGCAGATCAGAAGTGAGGGGCATGTGGTTGGGGACTTTGGGTTGGGAGTGCAGGGCACTGGCAGCGTCAGGGGGGCTGTGAGTTGGGAGTGTGGGACATCAGCAGGGATGGGGCAGGGTCTGTGGGTCAGGAGTGAAGGACACAATCGGAGCCCAGGGGGACAGGGTACTGAGGTTTGAGAGTGAGGAGCATTAGCTGGGCTAGTGTTAGTGGGTTGGGAGTGAGGTGCACCAGCAGGCCTGGCGGGGGGGTGGGGAGGGGGCTGTGTCTTGGCAGTGAGGGGCAACAGAATGGGCAGGGGCAGAGGCAGGGCACTGGCATGTCACCGAAATATGGTAACTCTACAGTAAAGAAGTGCTAGAATACAAATAAGTAAACTCTCCGTGCAAACACCCACTCAAATTTAACTGAAATTAAATTACCTCTAACTTCTCAGAAAGTTAATTCAGTAAGTGGTATAATTTTGGAGCTGATGTAATGCATATTTTTATATAATAAAGGGGTAAAGGGGATGAGTTTCTGCTTTAAGCACAAATTACAGCTTGGTCTTAACTACAGATCTGCAGCTAGTGTGTTTGTACTATAAGGTAGAAAAGATTAAAATAAATGAAAGGATGATCATTGTAGTTAAGATGTGAGATAATGAAGGGCTCGAGCAGAGTTTTAGCTATACTGGAAAAAGGTAAGAAAGAGAAACTGAAATTTAGGGTTTGCCCAGACTACAAAAATTAGATTGGGCTTAGTTAACAGGTTTTATCTACCCCTTACCTAGGTTTATTCTTTTCCCTACCATGAACTCAAATGAACACCTCTTAGCCTACACAAGAGAAAAGATATGAAGCTCTGCTGTAACTTCAACTAGCTTCCTTAGTCTAGAGTATTTCTATCCAGCTGGCAGCCTGTGGACCTCATGCAGTCCCTGAGAGGTTAACCTTTGCCCCCCAGACTCTGTGTAGATGCTGATCCTGGCATCTCTCCAGCTGCTGCTTCTGCTGCCAGAGTTTCTGGGTTCTCCCTCTTTCTTCTAGTTTCTGCTCCTTGCCCCCAGTGCAGGAGTTCTGGCAAAGTGCAGTGGAGGGTGGGGGAGAGGGCACAATGCAGGGTGCCGGGGTACTGGCACAGTGCAGTGAGGGGGTACCTGGTGCACGGTAGGATGTGGGGGATAGGATGGCATCACACAGTGTGTGGCTCATGCAGCATGCAGCACACATAGTGTGTGGCTGGACACTCAGAAATTTGACAACCGTAGCCTAGAGAAACTCCGAGCAAAGTTGTGCATAAAGTAGTAACTAGAATCAAAGTTCTAGACTTTGATTTGGATGCACTGAAAAAGTGCAATGATGTATATCTGTTGATATACTGTTAGCAAACAATATAAAATAATAATAATTACTTTCTTTTTATAGACTGTAATTTTGGAGAAAGGTCCATCCACTGCAAGGCATTTTCCAAGTTCTTACAGAGAGGCATCACATCTTCAAGGTAAGCTTTTTTTTCTTTCTTGCATGAGAAACAGAATGGTTGACATTTTAAGCTCTCGTGCCAAAATATGTTATGGGTTATGAAACAAGATATTTTAAATACATATGCAATTTTCCTTTTTGAAGCTTACTTTGATCTGATTGGTAGAGGGGCCAGGCCGGCTGGGCTGTTTGTTGCTGATCCCTGGGGAAGCAAAAACCACTCACCAGGGATCAGTGGCAAATGGCCCAGCTGGTGCAGCTTCTTTGCCAATTACCGGTGGGGGGGGGAAGTGGTGAAAGGAAAACATTAAAGGAGCCACTGTCGGGGGCACTTTCTAGCCTGATTTACAGAGATCTCTGTGCCTAAAACTACCATCAACCCTGACATAACACAGAGCCAACACCCTAACCTGCCACAGGTAAAGCAGGGGAACCATGGCAGGCAATGTCCTGTTTCTATGAAATGTTGTCAATATAGATTCAAGAGATCCTAAGTAGAGGAAGGCAGCCCCCCTCCCCCAGTCCAGACCAATCTGACCACGGGGTAAAAATCCTTCCTGATTCCATATATGGCAAATAGTTAGACTTTGAGCCGAGGGGAAGACTCACTAGCCAGGAACCTCCAGCTGTTTGACCTTTTGCAAGTCAGTTTATCCCCCCTGTGATGGAGCAGCTTTAAGGGCTGAAGCAGGCAGCCACCAAGTAGCTGATTGTGGTGGCCATTTTCAAACTTAGGCCAGAAAGGCAACAGTCTGGGTAGAACAGCCAAGGAGGCAACATCAGGCTGAGTTACTCCTGGAACACCTTGGAGGTAAGGGTAGGAGTTACAGGGGATGGTTTGGAGGCTTTTGGTCCTGACTTGAACCTGCACCTGCTGGAGCTCCCAGTGGCGTGGGAGCCCCCAGGAAATGCCAGGCCAGTTACCACCCTGATGAAAGGCAGGTGGGGGCACCTTAGAACCTCAGCCTCGACTATACAGTGGAGAATATATAGACTGTGAGGCCAGGCATGCTGAAGGAAAGGCACCTGAGCCCCTGGGGGTGTAAGACCCCAAGCCCATCAAAGGGCAGAAAGTTAGCCCCAGTGAGGTGGCAGTGTGGAGCCCTAGTGAGGGGGAACTGGGGACTGGGAGCTCAGTAGGTGGGGCCAGGGGCCCAGTGTGTGTTTGTGTATGTTTATGTAGAGTTGCCCTGAGAGGGGCCAGGGCAAGATTGGCCTGGGTCCGGAACTTGGCTGGCCACTATCCAGGTGAGGATTGCGGGACAGACCCAAGAGACTATGTCTGCCACCCAAGGCGTGATCAGGATAAAGCCCCGCAGGCCTACGAGAGCAGCTCCAAGAGGGAGCAAGGCAGAAACAGTTGTCGATGCGAGAAAGAGACCCTGTGAGAGGCCCTAGTAAGAGGATGGTGGTGTGAAAGTGGATGTGAAAGAGGGCACATGAGGGCTAAGCTTGGTCTGGTTTTAGGCTCGGTGTATAGCAAGAACTTATGATGCCATCTGCGAGGCATGGGCCACCGTGTAGGGGAGGTTTGGAGCAGTGGATAGCGCCCGGAGTGGTGGATAGCGCCCCCTGGCATCGTGGCCTGTAATGGGTAGTCTCCCGCATTTTCCACCAGTTATGGGAACAGCAAAATCATGGCAAGTGAGACTGGGCAGACTACCCCATAGAGACACGTGGGCAGGCCGACTCAAGACTTGGCCCCTGGCTTTCCCCTGTCAGCCCTCCTATACTTATCTCCTCTTGTATAAATAGAAATAACGATACTTTGCTGAGTACTCATTAGATCATTTGTTAAAAGGCACTTTTATGTAAGTTAAGTGTAATTGTTATTTCAGACAGAGAGGTTTGATAAAGCTTAGCATATATTTGCATCTACTTTGGCCTACTCCTGGAAATACTACCACATAAAGTAGTGGTGCAGTGCTCCATATAACAACTTCTTGGATACGTTGTCCCAAGTTTTCAGAATTCTGGCTTGGAGATGGTACACTCAAATTAAAAATGGATCAAGCTCTTTAAATTGTTTTCCATACTGAGGATGTGGAAGTAGTAATCATGACAACCATTTGCAGTAGCTATCTCCATGTTCAACATAATCTTCCCTATTGGAAACAAAGGCAAAATGTTAATTTAGATTTGGTCTGTGCTTAGATTATTTTTAATTTCCACAGCTGCTTCTCTGAATAGCAATCTCCTTTCTTTCCTAAGTAAAAATAGGGCTTTTAATTATTTGTTTTAATACCATTGCCAGCTCTAGTTTGCCTTGATTTTGGCAGTTCCCATATTATCTGTATTCTTCTTAATCTCTAAGGTATGGCTTTATTTGTGGATTAGTATGCTTTCCCTCTGTCCTTGTAAATTCCTTGCTTATTCCTAATGTCCATTATGAGGTGCTTATTTTATCTAGTTAGGTCTGGAGCATTTTGAGGTTCCCCCTCCCCTCCCTTTCCATGAAATAAAATTTCAAGATAATACTCCCTCCCTTCCCCTTTCTAATCCACTGTTCATTTGTCAAACTACAGGCCTATTCAACATTCATGTTCCTGAAGTTCAGTTGACTTAATTAACTAGTTCCTAAAATTTTTCAGTTTACCCTTTTGAAAATGAGGACACTAGTTGCAGTTTTATTGTAATTTAAATACTGTAACATCAATTTGCAATCACTGGGCACTTTTACTTGTGCTTTGGGGGTGGAGGGGGTGGTGCTCTGAGAGCTGCTCTAATTAAAGTGCCATAGCATCTTGTGTATCAGCATCCCCGCACTTCCAAATCACGGCAGGGGCCCTTGAACCAAAGCGCATTCAATGAGCTGACACAGGAGGTTGCTGGAGAGTGGTAATTACAACACTGCAGCAGACTCTGTTAATAATTTTTTTTCTGAAATTCTAGTATTTTTTTTTCCTGTAATTACGGTGTGTTTGAGCAGGCTTCTTATTTGTATATAGGCACCCACTGGTTCCAAGGTTATTTTCTGCAATTGATTCTGATATTGTGTCCTCATTACCTATCAAATCCATGTATGAAGTAGTATCTCCTCCTGCTACAGTATTTTATACAACCAATTCCTAGTAGTATTTCTCTCTCAAAAAACAGTCAGACTCTTGTAGGGTCATAGGAAAGTAGGGCTGAAAGGGACCTCACAAAATCTAGTCCAGCTCCCTACTTAAGGCAGGATTATCCTTGATTTAAACCATTCCAGCTAAATGTCCAGCCTACTCTTGAAAATTTCCAAGGATGGAGATTCCTCAGTTTCTCTATGTAGCCTGTTTTAATGCTTGATCATCCTTGTAGTAAGAAAGGTCTTCCTAATCTCCAACCTACAATTTCCTTTGCTGCATCTTGAGGCCATTGCTCCTATACCTGTCCCCTGTAGCCACAGATAAAAGCCGATCTCCAACCCCTCTAATCACCAGGGATCCTGGAAATCCGTTTGCCATGGAAAAACACACAAAACCATGGACTTTGCATTTTTACAGAGAATCTTTAGAAGTGCCAAAAAAAACAACTAACCAAAACAAAAAAAACTTACTGAAAATAAAATGCTGGCTCTCCAGTGGAATCCAGTGGTTCTCATGGCTGCTGCAGCAGACTGGTAGGGGGATAAGCCACTGGCACGCAGGGAAGCATCCAAGATGACAACTGCCCCTTCCTCCTTCCACCGCTAATTGGCTGAGAGTACTGCCTGTCTAGCAGCCCTGCCCCTCTCCACCAATCAGTGGTAAGGGGTGTGGCTGTTGCTGCGGCCCCTCAGCCAATCAGTGTGTGTGTGGGGGGGGGGGCTTGCTGTGGAAAAACATGGATTTTTGTTTTCTTATCAGACAATTTTGGAATTTTTTATCATAGAAACCTAGTATCTGTGGTAATCACCCTTTAGATATTTGAAGACTGTTATCGAATCCTCCCTCAGTCTTCTCTTCAGCAGATTAAATAACCTTAATTCTTTTAGCCTTTTCTCATAAGTCTTGTTTCTCAGGCCCTTGATCATTGTTGTTGAACTCCAGTGGATTTTTTTCCAAATTATTTCTTTTTATCTCTGATTACATCTAGGTGCTGGTAGGCAATTTAATTGCATGTAAAGTGATTACGTACATTCTGGAAATGGGTAGGTGTGTGCCTTTTTTTTAACTAGTTTTGGTAGACAGCTCTTTTGGCTTCCCTGAATCTTGGTAGATGGAGACACAAAATATTAGAATCTTTTGATGTTATCGACAATCAGCAGACCATTTTCCCTTTCTTTCTGTGTAGAGAATGAAATTAAAAAGTTATCAGATAAAACAGGACTTCCGCTTGAAGATCATTTGGCAGATGTGAAAGATGTACATAAAACAGAAAACCTTGCTGCATTCCTG